AACCTAGGTTTTCCCTGGTCCTGTTTGCTGACAACAGGACCATGATCCTCCTAGGTCAGGAGGCTCGACTTGAGGGCAGGGCGAAGCACATCCAGCTGCGGTACTTCCTGCTGCGTGAGTTGCAGCAGCGCGGTCAGGCTCGTGTAGTACTGGTGGCCAGAGGCCAACACTGCTGATACTTCACCAAGGCACTACCACCTTGTGTCCATCAGCAGTTCTGTACTCAACTTGGTCTAGTCTTAGTAGTCGCTCCCCTCCTTGTATCCTGATCTATGCTATACCAGCTTGTACTTGCTGTGCTATACCTGCTGGTCTTGCTACACTTGCTGACTGGCCTTGTGGCCCTTTATCTCAGTGGTCAGACTAGTAGTGCTGCCCTGAGTTGCTTTGTTACATCCACTAGAGGCCAGACTAGTAGTGCTGCCCTGGTTTGTTCTGGTTTGTTAGACGTTGACTCTACCTAGGCTAGGGGGTGTGTCTAAACAAATGTATATACTAGTTAGGTTATATGTATTAGTGTATCCTAGCTAGGTCAGCTCTTAGAGAGTACAACTCCACTTACTTGTGTCTCCCTCTCCCACCTTCTAGTAAAAAATTTCTCACTATCATAACAAACACTACTCACATGCAGTTATGGCTATGCTAATGCTACAGATTCCACACCCACATGATCTAAGCATCTCCTACAATTTTGCATAGAGCAATAAATGCACATCATCCTCGCTAGTCTAGTGTTCATTCTACCTCTGCCTAGCCATCGTCTTCCAGAGTCTCCACGCCATCCTCCATGCCATCTTCCTCCGACTCATCCTCACTGGTGCTCTCGCCTTCCCCCTCATCACCCACGCATTCGGCCTCACCCTTCCTGTCGACTCGGCTTGCAGGTCGATTGCCAGCCGCCCTGGTCTCAGCCTCGCCAGTGTTGTCACCAGCATAGCCAGGACCACGTGTGTCATCGTTGATGTCGACTTCAGTGGGCTTGGCATCACGCATGTGCTTCCGCACCTCGGCGTCCTCCGAGCCGTCGAGCGCACTAGAGATCCCTCATATCTTGAAAGCTTTCGCGATGAGGCTGCTCGGGGCTGCTTCCATGCTCGGGAGCACCACTTGAAAGTCCCCTCCGGTGGGGGCTTCCTCAGATTCCCTGCAATAAGGCACGGGAACATTGGTGTGTGTCTTATTGATGCTTGACTGGTGAAGCATTAGGGCGGATCGGAGCTTGATACTCACCCTTGGGAGTGGTGAGGTTGATGCTGGTCTCGTCTAACCAATCCTGGTATTCCCCGCGCACATGAGCCTTGTAGGACTTGTTGATGCAGACATCGAGAGGCTCAATGAGACTGGTGAAGCCGCTGGGGATGATGGTGGGAATGATGCCCTGCTCCCGTAGCTCCGCTGTGGCTCAATCGGTGAGATGACCCTTGTAACTGTGGAAGACGAGAATGACCACCTTTGCTTGGTAGCCGAATGTCAGCTTCGGGTAAGGCTTCACCTCCCCGTGCAGCCATTTGAGCACTCCTCCTCGTCCATCCAACCATTTTCTTGCGCACACATGATAACATCTACACAACACTGCAAGATAGTCAGTGAAATTCTCGGAAAGAGAAGGTGAGATAAACAGCGTAGTGGACAAGAGCTGTTCAAGAGTCGAACATGACAACTCACCCCTGGGGAATTTTCTATGCGGCAGGTTCTTGCGCTTGAAAAAAACCCATGGCTTTAGCATCTTACCGCTCGGAGAACACCCCAGCATCACCGTCACCCTTTTCTTTTGGTAGCTGCATGTGCGCACAGGGACCATATGCATCCACGTCTTATGCGGGAACATTTCCCGCATGATGGAGCGGCTCCACGACATGAGCTGCTTCACCGACACTGGAATGCCGGACTTTTGCTTCTCCAAGACGCACTTATACACCTCGGCCTCCATGTCGTGGTACCAAGAGGTCCTCTCGGCACCATGAAGCCGCTTTTGCACTAGGTGAGCCGTCTGGGGCGAGTCTCCACCTTAAGCCAGTCGCGGATGCGCTTGGGACCAAACTTTCCTTCGCGTGCCACTGCACACTGTGACTTGCCCTCCCGCAAATTCCCCGGCCAATACAACTACTCGCTGGTGGTGTATGAATTATGCTACTGGTTTGTCCTACGTTTTCTAGGCATCCTTACTACACTCTTTAGGATCCTTGGGAGATTTGCCCTTCGGGAAAGTTGGGATGGGAAGTTTCTCAGGCAGGCCATCTCTACCCCAATACTCGACATCCGCATCGTTAGCGTCTGCAGGGTCGGGCCACTCGTCGTCCGGTGCTCAGTCGTGGTAGCGACGGCCGACGTCATCAGCAGCAGCGGGAGCAGCATCATTGGGAGCCGGTGCCTTTGAAGGACCCACGCCATCGTCGTCACCATGGGACGACGGCTCATCGTTGAGAATCCACGTCAAGACCAGTATGTTTGTCGGCCATAGCATGGAAGGAGGAGAAGGCGGTGTCGGGGGGGAAGGTGGCGTGGGAGGAGAGGGAGGAGCCGGAGGTGCGGGATTTGCAGGTGACACTGGGGGCACAGGATAAGGAGCACGGTGCCTACGGCCTCAACCCACGCTGAGATGAGTAGGCTGGCATGGGCAACCAAAGATTATAGAGAAACCAGAGGCAGGAGCTTCTCCCATGGATGAATAGCACACTACGAAGGGAGAGTGCCGAGCATCCTACTCGGAGGTAGACTAGAGGCATTGATTTTCAAAGTGCTGTGAAATAAAGGAATGAGGAGCGATGTAGAGACCCTTTAGAATCCTCTGCGGGCTCACGACGCAGATGGAGAACCGAACCGGCCTGTCACCGCAAAGGAATCCAGAGTGGCATCACCATCTATCGCACGATGCTGGCGGGTGGTCCTTCATCACGTCTGAGCTTATCGCAAGGGTTCCGCCATTTGTTTACCTAGTGTGCGCATGCGTGGCCCTCGCTGACAGCATACCTAGCTGTAGTTGGAAGCCAAGGCATTTGTCCAGATCCAGCGCAATGGGGAGTTGCGTTGCCATTGGGCCGCGTTGAACAAGCCAACTGCAGCATGGCGGCATCTTTGGAGGGCATACTCTCCAGATTCTTCCACGGTTGCTTCGCCGTTTTGGTCGGAATTTGGTAGGAGGCACATGTGCCAGTACACATTTCTTAGATTTAGTTTTTCTCTAACAATAACGTAAATTAAGCCCTGGGGATTAAATTTGAAAATTTGATCATTAGCCCCACCCCCTAAGATTCATGTTCGCTCTATACACCCCTAGGTTTTTCCGACCCTCCTCTAGACTGGGTCCCCTAATAAGGCGTTCGCAGCTTGTCTCCTACTACGTTCGCTTCCCTCACCATGGCACTAGTGTTCCTCCTCCCCCTCCCCCACCTCGAAGATGACTACTCTTCAAGTGCTTCACTCTTTGGACTTCTCGATAGCTTTCTTGCAGGGTAGCCTACACAAGCAGATCTACATGCACGCCTACCAGGTTTCACCGGGTGATTCCCACTTGGGACCTAGTGGAGCCTGCGGCGCCCAATCAATGGTCTACGACAGGTGCCCCAAGAGTAGCATGACACGCTACGCACTACACTAGCGGCTCTCTACTTCTTCCCGTCCTCTGCTGACCACTCACTCTTCATTCGTGGTGGCCAAACTCCCTTCTACATCGTTGTATACAAAGACGACCTGATCTTTGCTACACCAGACACAGTTGCACTGGCCTAAGTGAAGGCCAAGCTATTTAGGAGACACGTCTGCACTGACCTGGGAGAGCTGCGGTGCTATCTGGGCTTGGAGATCTCTCGTGACCATGCAGCGCGTGCAATTACCCTCTCCCAATCCCAAATGGTGCAGCAGATCCTCTAGAGGTTTGGTCTTCAGTTCTCTTCGTCACAACCCACTCCCATGCATGTGGACAGCAAGCTCTCAGTTGTTGTCTCCAGTGAGCCAGTTGAGCTCAGTGGTCCCTACGTAGAGCTGGTGGGATGCCTCATGTATCTCATGACACGCACTCGCCCAGATCTTCCATACCCTCTCAGCATTCTCACTCGCTTCGTCACGACTGGCAGACACCGATCAGAGCACTTGTCGGCTGCCAAGAGGGAATTGGAAAATCTGGCGAGTACCTCAGGCCTGGGGCTTGTGCTGGGAGGACGGGTGC